TTTCCCTAGTTTCAGGGTAATGAATGACATTCTCTTCTCTCACCTTTTGCCAAATACTGAAATAGAGCTTGAAATTTTTCAGTCTTTACCATGGCAGGAGTAAAACTATTTTATATGCTAATGTGAATGCAACTGTATCTAAGGTAAGAACAGAAAGTGTGCTGTTTGTAGAATATGATTTATTCTAGGTTTATTTGCTGACTTTATGAATTTAGAAAAGAAGAGCTATTTCTCTTTAATCATGCATTTATTTTATTTTTTTTCTAGACATATAACTGAAATAGCCAGCATTTAAACATTCACAGTTCTCTTTTGATTGAACCTGAAGATCCCCATTTAATTAAAAGCTCTGGATTAAAGGAAGATAATATGCAATTTACAAACACCTAATCTAAATTACTTGAAAAACTGAAGATCTAATTGATCCCAAAATAGAATAGCTTATTTACAAGAGGTGATCTGAGAATAAAAAGAATTGTTAATACTGCTTACCATTCCCTTTTGGCAAATAAAATGGCCTACCAGTTCATCTAGTCATCCTAGAGAAAAAAACCCAAAAGATATCTTTGTTTTCATACTGAGAGGTGTTTGGGAGATACAATGGTCTAATCTGTACTCTAAATTTGGCTGAAATTGGAAAATTTGTATCAGCGTCAGGCCTCAGACAGACCAAAATGTAGCTCCTAGAGCATTAACTGTCCCTTGCTACTCGTTTGAGAATGTCAGACAGATGGAAATTCAGCTTTTGGCTAGAGAGTTTTCAATTCAGCTTCTCCACTGTTTTAAAATTAGTCATTAAAGTAGAACTGGATTGTCAAGTAAAATACTGCATTTGATACTACTGTAAAGCAGTATCAAATTTATCAAAGCCTTAGAACTGAGCTTGCAAGAGACTGATACACTCTAGGAATAGTTTTATATTTGCTGCCACAAAAAATTGTCACCAGTGATTTATCTACTGCAGGTGATTCTCACATTTTTAGCAACTGTTTCCAGTATTGTTTGTTTCCTTATTATGGGCTAATATACTTATTCATTTTTTTAAGATGCCTCAAAATTTATGTCTAAAAATAGCAAAAAAGTATCAAATGTCTTTTCTTCTAGTAATAACTGGGACTGTAATCACAGCAGTAACACGGGCTGGCAGTTTGCATGCAACAGTATCAATCATTTTTGTATATAAGGAAGGTAATTTAGCAATTCAACAAGCTGGCAAGAGTATGAGTGCCAAGATTATTGTTGTATGTAAGCAGTGTCCTCTCATCAGAAGAGGTAAGTACATACAAATAACTGCTTTACGTGTTTATAATATAAATGATGGAGTCATGTGTAGTTTTGAAAAGTACCATTTGAAATATTACCACAAAAATCAGTAAAATTACAGTAATTGTTTCTATAATCAGCAACTAATATGATAATCAATCTAAGATAAAACCAACTAGTTATCTAGGTTTATATTGAATTTTTTCAGTTTTACTTATTAAGGATTAGACTCAAATCAAAGGAGTTTGAAAAATTATTTTTTTTTAAACCCACATTATATAAATTAAAACCTCTCTCAAAGCTCACATTTTGTTTTTATGGGTAAATTTTTTGGAGATAGTCTTCATACACTGTTATTTAAAGAGGGAAAATAACAGCATGCTAAACCTAGAAGAGCAGTATGTCACAGCAAATTACAAAAATCGAGATGTTTCCCTGTTGTTTCTCTTGTGCATATACTTAGATCTTTACTGCAGAAATACAAGTAGTATTAAGCTCACTCTATCTCTGCAAACAGACACTATTTCTATCATTGTCTTAAACAGTATTATACAGAGATCAAGCAAGATAATTTCCAGTTAAATGTAACAAGGGCTACCTATATGTTGTTATAAGAAATACTGAGCCTGTTTTCTAGTGAAGTAACTAAATAAAAAATACATCAGTCTTCAGCTCTGCCTCCTAAGGAAACAGGTAGAACAGGAGAACATAAATGGAACCATAGCACAGAAGGGAATGAAGAGATTCAAGCACAGTATTCCACAAGCTCAGCAAATGAAAAAATATTCAAAATGAATCAGGCACATTCCATTTCGGGTGTTAGTAGCCAAGTTACCCAGGGTTTATACTGCATTTCTAATGTCTTTCAGACTCATCTGACAGCTAGATTTAATTAATATCTCCTAGATATTTAATTATGTAGTAGATATTTAGCTAAATATCTACTTATTTTTTACATAACTGTACTTTATTGCATAACAAGCATGGCAAAGGTAGGTGAGGAAGTTTACACTTACTTTAGGTAGGAAGGAAAAAAATGTTAGAAGGCATTGGTAACACAGTGCAAATGACTAGAAACCACAGAGAAAGAGCTATACTTAGCAAATCACGTCCTGGATTTCTGTCTTGTAATGTATGATTCCATGCTCTCTTGTAGGTTTAAACTACATCATCATGGGCCAGGTAGAAGAAGATGGTAGAGGCAAAGTCCTTCCTAACAGCTTTGTCATGAGTTTTAAGACTAAGAACTCCAAGATCCTAAATGCCTTGAAAAACAAAACATGCTAAAACTAAACTCTGCAGCTGCATTCTATCACCTCTCTTGAAAAAAAACCCAAAAATTTCAATTAATGTAAGTCATGAAAATACAGCTGACTGTCAAAACTAAGACCATGTTCACCCTTTCTTCCTTCCCATGCACCTAGGCACACCCAGGCACAAAGTGGCATCCAATACAGGAAGATGTGTTCTCATCTTGCACCTAAGTCTTAAAGCTTTGCAGCACAGCCATCTGATCTCAAACATACCAAATTCCAATTACTTGGAAGCTGTTAATTTATAACTCTTCAATTTTTTAACGTGTTATGTATGTAAAGCAGGAATTCTAAGTGCAATATTTATAGTAAGTCATTTTAACTTAGTTTTTTCTCTAAAGTTGTTTTATTACATGGATTTCTGCATTATTATCTGTGCTTAATAAAATATTTTAAGATTAAATCACACACCAACTAGTTACTCATTATGTATAAAGTGGGGCTGGCTAAACATAGAATCTCTTTTTTGATCATTTACATGCTTTTGATGGCTTGGGTCTTGTGAGGTGTGCCTGACAGTACAGTTCCTTGCTGATTAAATCAGTGAAGGACGCAGCAGTGGCAATGGTAAGTGCCATGGCTGAGCATTGTTTGAGGTGGTGCAGTGCTGGGGTTAAACCCCCAGCTCTGAATGAGGGTTGGCATATGGATGATGTCCACAATCAGTCAAAAGAGACCCTCCTGACTGCTTTTCCCCCATGGTCCCCTCCTTCCACATGAACTTGGAGGCAGGGCAAGAAGCCAATTATATAAGAATTGACTCCACTTGCAGTGGTGTTGGAGGTTTGTCTATGCAGCGTGGAGATTCTGGTTATTGAAAGGACTCCCCAGCTCTTCACAGCAAGTGGAGGTCCCAGGATGGCAGGGTAAGATCATGAGTCTCTCTCTGGGAAACTACTCCATAACTGGACTCAGTGTCTGGCTGACTCCCTCTCCCACAGCATGGTTCCCGAGTCAGCTCCCTCCCCTCTTTGCCCGAGGTGCAGTGAGGGAGGGCATTGGCTCGTTCCTCCCTCTGGTGGTCTGGCACTTGGGGTCTTTGTGTGATGGGGGAGGGGAGGGAGGAGTTTGGCTGCTGGTCTGCCTGTTAATGATAACATCATTCTATACTGGGCCAGTGGCCAGCAGAAGAGGTGGATGGTGGTTTCTAGGAGCCAGGGAAACCTGAAGAGGAGCAGAGAGACCTGCCAGGAGCTGGCAGCTCTCCTAGCGAGGCTGATGTGGCCCTGGGGCAGTGCCAGGGGCAACCGTGGGAGGCTGAAACAGCCCCGGGGATGCAAACTGGGCCCGGCCCTCCAGCAAGGGCGCAGCAGGCAAGCAGGGGGTGGCCCGTCAGCCAGGGTATGGTGTGGCAGTTTGTGCGGGGGCTGAGCAGGGAGGGCTCTGTGTCTTGCTTGTAGATCCACAGCCCAGGTGGTGGGCACTTGCTTAACAGCTAAAACCAGTGTTCCTATAGAGAAAGCCCCTGAGAATTCTGACGTAGCCACTCAGGTGGACCTGGGGAAGAAGGGTACTCCAGTACAAGTGGCAGGTTGTGGCCAGTGCCTGGGCCCTTCTCTGGATGTAAAGGTAAGTATCCACAAGAGGTGTGTGCAGGCTGGCAACCTGTTGTGTCAGGGGCCTGGGCTGCAAGAAACGGTCATAAGGCTGTGCAGCATTAGAGGAGTCGAGATGGAGTTAGGTACATGGTTTCAAAACTATGTTCCTGTAGCAGACACCACTGAAAAAGAGGCACCTTGGACTCTGGTGCCTCAGAAAAGGAGGACTCTGCTTCATCATCCACCCTCTAACATCATTACCAAAACCAGATCTGAAGCATTAATACCTATGGCCACCCATGAAGAAGCCCTACACGGAGAAACTGCAACAGCAGCATGCAGTGGATGCTGCAGAAAGAAACGACGTGTGCTCGTAGTGGGTGACTCTTTGTTAAGGGGCACTGAGGTGGCCATCTGCTGATCTGACAGGGAGTGACAAGAGGCACACTGCCTCCTGGGAGCCAAGATCTGAGACTCTGCCAAGAGCCTGCCACATATTGTCAAGAGCACTGACTAATATCCAATGTTACTCTTCCATATGGGCATGAATGACTGTGAACCAGAACCTGGGCAGAATCAAGGAAGATTATAAAGCCCTGGGGATGCCAGTGAAACACATTGGTGCCCAAGTTATCTTTTCTTCCATTTTACCCGTTAGAAGAAAGGGGGGCAGCCAGAAACAGGCAAATAATGAATAGCAACTCCTGCTACGTGGCTGGTGCTGTCACAAGGGTTTTGGGTTTTATGAGAATGGGACATTCTTTGATGACTATAAACTGTTAGGGAGGTACGGAATACACCTGTCTCAAAGAGGCAAGGGAATCTGTGACAGCAGGCTAGCTAAACTGGTGAGGCAGGCCCTGAACTGATAGGACTTGGGGAGCAGGGTCCAAGGTGGCAATGCATGTGCCATGCAATTCAAATTGGGAATAATCCAGGCCAAGCAGAGCAGCAACAAATCTTCCTTAGTGGCCTTCCAAGATGAAAGCCAGAAGGCCAACCACCCGAAAGGTGTGTATAACTGCTGTGGATCCTCTTGCACCCCTCTGGGGAAACCTTGCTTGGTTAAGTCTCTGAAATGCCCGTACAGCATGGGGAATAAATGGGAAGAACCAGAGATCTGGGTGTGATTGAAGGGCCATGAACTCCTTGCAGTTACAGAGATGTGGTGGGATGCCTTGTCTCACTGGAATGCTGTCGTGGATGGCTTCATACATTTTAGGAAAGACAGGCCAGCAAGGAGCTGCTCCTTATGTGAGAGAGCAACTGGAATGTAGCTCTGCCTATGGAGGGGGCAGGGATGAAGAATGTGTTGAAAGCTTATGGATAAGAATTAAGGGGCAGGCTAACATGAGTGGCACTGTGTTCACAGGCCACCTGATCAGGAAGAGGAAGTCAATTAGTCCTTCCACAGAGAGATGAAAGTGGCCTCACAATCACATGTCCTGGTTCTCTCAGGGGACTTCAGTCATCCCAGTATTTGATGGACAGGTAACACAGCTAGTCACACACTCCAGGAGGTCCCTGAAGAGCATTCATGATGATTTTCTAAAACAGGTGCTGGAGAACTTGAGACTCAAGGAACTACTGGAGAGATTCCAACAGAGGGATATGAAGATGATTATCATTGGGGTATCTCTCTCCAGAAGAAAGGCTGAGATGTGGGTCTGTTTAGCCTGGAGAAGAGAGGATGAGAGGGGATTTTATCAATGTTTATAAATGTTTAAAATGGGGGTGTGAAGTGGATGGGGCCAGACTCTTTTCAGTGGTGCCCAATGACAGGACAAGGGGCAACAGGCATGAACTGGAACACAGGAACGTCCATCTGAACTTAAGGAAAAACTGCTTTGAGGGTGATGGAGCGCTGGAACAGGTTGACCATAGAAACACTATGGTTGGAAAGGACCTCCAGGATCATCAAGTCCAACCTTCATCCCAACATTTCCCTAACCACTAGACCACAGCCTCAAGTGCTGCATCTACTTGTTTTTTGGAATTCCCCCAGGGATGATGCCTCCACCACCTCCCTGGGCAGCCTGTTCCAGTGTCTAACCACTCTCTCAGTGAAGAAATTCTTCCTAATAGCCAATCAAATCCTCCCCTGGTGGAACTTGAGGTCATTTTTCTCTTGCCCTATCATTAATAATTTGGGAGAAGAGACCAACACCAGCCTCACTACAACCTCCTTTTAGGTAGTTGTAGAGAGCAATAAGGTCTCCTCTCAGTATTCACTTCTCCAGTCTAAACCACCCCAGCTCCCTCAGCCACTATTCACAAGGCATGTTCTCCAGCCCTCTCACCAGCCTCACTGCCCTCCTCTGGACCCGCTCCTGCACCTCCATGTCCTTCCTGTACCATGGTGCCCAAAACTGGACACAGTACTCAGGGTATGGTCTCACCAGTGCTGAGTCCAGGGGCACGATCACCTCCCTGCTCCTGCTGGTCACACCATTTCTGATGCAGGCCAGGATGCCATTGGCCTCCTTGGCCACCTGGGCACACTGCTGGCTCATGTTCAGCCGGCTGTCCACCAACACCCCCAGGTCCTTTTCCACCAGGCACTTTCCAGCCACTCCTCCCCAAGCCTGTAGCCCAGAGAGGTTGTGGAGTCTTCTCTGGAGACTTTCAAAACCTGCCAAGACACATTCCTGTGCAACCTGATCTAGGAACCTCCTTTAGCAGGGGGCTTGGACTAGATCATCTACAGAGATCCCTTCCAGCCCCTGACATTCTGTAATTAAGGCCTGGTTTTCCTTCCACTGAAGTCAGTCAATCATTGATTTGAATAGGAACTGGATTTACCTCTCAAAGGCCTAGCAGCTGTAAAATAGCACCATGCTTTTCTCTGCTGGTGGCTATAATGTATTTATCAATGTCACTATGAAGACCCAAGAGGTAATGAGGGAGGAGGAATGCAAGTACACACGAAATACTTGAAATTCTTGTCACTGCTGTGAGAGGACAGACAAGAGGCAGTGCTCAGTCTCACAGCAGCAGTGCGAGCAGTAGCCTGTCTCTTTTATTTCATTGCTATATGCAGAAGGTTGAACAAGTAGCTGTTTTGAGAATAAAGGAAGGAACATGCTGTAATCAGTCACTGTTTTAGTGATCTTTGTCAAGTATGTCTATTCTATACACTTATGTTACTCTGAAAGTGAAAAGCTATAACTAGAGATGACTGAATAGAAACAAACTATAGGTAAAGATTGAGACCAAGAAGCTGAAGAACATTTTGGTCAGAAGCAGATACCTGCTTTTCAAACTGGGCAAAACTTGAATAGTAATAAAAACAACATGGATGGAACACAACCTAAGATCTCTTTAAGTACTTGTTTTCCTTGCATATGAACACTATACCAGTGTTATTTTGATAATCTGTAATCATGGGCAGGAAACTGTAATGAAATAGAAAGTCTCTGCTAGAATTACTCCTTATTTTAGTAGTAGAGTATGGGTTACTGTTCCTCAGTGAGTGGTTCTCACGGGCCGTGCGAGGAGGCAGAGTCACCGTCCAGCTCGGCAGCTTCTTCCCATGACTCACTGGGTGGCGAGGCAGGAGCCAGTCAGTGGGGGCACCGAGTGCCTGGGCCGGGCGGGGCCCGGCCGC